CCAAGGGCAGTGGCGCAGAAGATATAATTTTGAATTGTATCAGCTCTTTGATAAGCCAGATGTAATAACGTTCATTAAAACTCAGCTACTTAGATGGGCTGGACACATAATACGAATGCTAGAAAATACCATTGCTAAAAAGCTAACCACAGGAACACCTGTAGGAAAAAGAAGCAAAAGCCGAACGCGAATTAGGTGGTTAGATGGAGTAGAAACCGACTTACGAATATTAAAAATCAGAAGATGGCAACATGTTGCCAAAAACCGAACAGAATGGCGACGAATCTTAGAGCAGGCCAAGATCCACAGAGAATTGTCGAGCCAAAGATGATGATGATTGAACATTTTTAGTTAACACTGTAGTTTATTAGGTTCAGACTTAACATCTTCTGTACAAACGATCAGCATTTACCTCATTACAAAAATTGCTTGGGACTTGAGTAGACCGGCAGAATGCCTTATTAACACTATATAGCGAAACAGACATAATAACACTGAGATGAAGTCAAGAATTTATAAAGCCAGTGTAAGACCAATAACGACATATGCCTCAGAAACAAGACCTGACATAGCCACAACGCAAATACTACTGGAAACGGCATAGATGAAGGTACTGAGAGGACATTAGAAGAAAATGTAACGTACAGAGTAAAAATGAATGGACAGAAAATGGAAAAAAAGAATGGAATAACCACATAAACAAATTGGAGGAGACCCGTGTCGTCAAAATAGCAAGAGGTATATCATTTGCTACTGCTGCCGGATCCTTATTTATATCTTTAACAAATTCGTCCATTTAAAATTAAAAATATTTTCTTTATCTTTTGAAATCCTTCGTTTTTTCGTAATACATTTTTGTTACCTTCAACTATCCAACTAAAACCATTTTCTGTTTCTCCCAATATTTTTTTGTTTCACTCACAAAATAAAAAAGTTGCTTTTGGTAAAAGCATGATTGTTCGTAATTCTGTTTTACCTAAAACATCCTGACACTCTTTTATCGATTTGCTAGCAGTATCGTGAAGTTCCAATATCAAACTTTTAAAATTGTTCGATTTATTCGGCGTAGTATAAAGCTGTATATAACCATGTACCCCACCAACTTAACACTGGTCCAGGCGGTAATGTAGTGTTGGGCAATTTTTCTCTGAAAAGTTGCACCCTTAAAGGAGCTTTAATGAAAATTGTTTTCCCATTAGTTATAAACACATTAATAAGTGGAAATTGCAGCGTACGATTCAGGCTTTGTGCTAGACACGTACAGTGAATTCGGTTTGGATAAGATTTAATACTATTTTTATTACATATGGTGCAGCGTGATCTTGAAACTGTATTATTATTTGTTAATTACAGTTCTTTTGAACACAATAAATAACCTTTCCTCAAGATTTCTTCGTAGAGTACGCCTATGATTTAATTGGCGACCTACCTTGCACAAATATCTTAGTCTTGTTCACAGCAAACCAAGTGTAATTGTTTCTCACTAGTGTTTCTACTTTTTTTATGGTTTCCTTGTAAACGCAATTTACATAATTTTTTCGCAGAGTAATTTCATCTGGCACATTGCACCGCATAGATCAAAATTAAATTTCTGTTGTTCGCTACATACCAAAGTTGATTGTAAGGATTCTGCAATTCTTTATTGCTTACATTTACTTGTAAACTTTTTATAAACCTTTTAATAAATTATCTGAAATAAAATTTCAGATAATTTATTTAATTGACCATATTGAACACAAATACCGCTACAATGCCTATATAAAAATAAAAAATAAACGACTAAATAATTTAAACCGTGGAGTATACAGTCTCAACGTGGTTTTACTTATAGACAAACTGATGAGGACGAGGAAGTCCCAGAATTATCTAAATATACGTGCATAGATTTGACCATTAAAGATTATTAAAAATGTCAATATATTTGATATTTTTTAACAGGCTTTTATATACTATGTTTTGAAGAATAGGATCATAAAAATTATGTTTTAATTACGTTTCGGCAGGAAACCCTTAAGTAGATAGTCTACCTTCATCCTGGCGCAACCCTTAAATCGCACCCCTTAAAAATTACATTCGACGTAAAAAGTCTCATAAAACGTCGAATGTCATTTTCTAAGTGATGCTATTTATTGATTGCGCCAGGTTGAAGGTAAACTATGTAGTCTCTTGCCTTTTTCAAGATTCTAAAATGCACGAGATTAGGAACAAAAAGTTATTGCATATCTAAGCATAAGCATTATGCTTAGAATCCCAGACTAAAGTTATAATCATAGTTACTACTCAGTGGTGTCCCATTACTCGTAAAAATATGCAGTTACACTTTTTTATATTGCATGTTTATATTTATTTTATAGATACATATTTTTATAAGGATATTTTGTATTTATGACACATATAATAATCTCCAATGTAGTGATAATCCGCAATAAAGAATTTAAAATTCATTTAAAATTCTTGTCTCAAATATTGTAGTAATTTTAATAAATATATTTATTTATTATGGGGGAATCTACAGAATCTGTTCAGAATATTAATAATAAGCACCTTAAGAAGTTTGTTAGCAAGGATTAAAATTTTGCAATCGACATTAAATTTCTCATTGCGGGCAATTTCAATAAATATTTACATTCATGTAACTCGTTCAATAAAAATGATACAAACCTCTGATCTGAATCGTGTTAAATTTAAATGTCCTTTAACAGTGTATTTGAAAACTGTAGTATTAAATGTACACCACGCTCTAACATAAAAATTATACTAGTACTGTTCAAAGTATAGTTTGTAAGTATTTACCTAACCATGATTGTAGTTGGAAAGATACCATTTAGATACCTATAAAATAAATAAAGAAACAAACTATTACTAGAGCACCGAAAAAATCAACAGAAGGAAAACATCAGCAAATAGACGACATTAAAAAATAAATTTTGCGCAGAAAAGTATGCATATACAAAAAACACGAAATAATTTGTTGGAAAAGAATTTGGAAAAACATAAATTAATGAAGGACATTTTGTCAAGGATACAAGAAAAACAGGTTAGAAATGCTTGTCAGGTGTTTACTGAAGGTTTGTCGACTGCATTAAAATTTCTAACTGGTAAATGTCCTCATTTGACTCATCTTAAGGAGATAAATAATTTTTTGATCAAAATTTGCTAGAATTTGTTTTAAACTCTAATTTTGTAATCGAATTGTAATATTTACATTCATGTAACTCGTTCAATAAAAATGATACAAACCTCTAATTTGAATCGTGTTAAATCTAAATGTCATTTAACAGTGTATTTGAAAACTGTAGTATTAAATGTACACCAAGCTCTTAGCATACACATTACACTAGTACTGTTCAAAGTATAGTTTGTAAGTGTTTACCTTACCATGATAGATACCTTTAAAATAAAGAAAGAAAGGAACTATTACCAGAGCACCGAAAAAATCAACAGGAGGAAAACATCAGCAAATAGCCGACATTAAAAAATAAATTTTGCGAAGAAAAGTATGCTTATACAAAAAACACGAAATAATTCGTTAGAGAAGAATTTGGAAAAATATAAATTAATGAATGACATTTTGTCAAGGATACAAGAAAAACAGGTTAGAAATGCTTGTCAGGTGTTTACTGAAGGTTTGTCGACTGCATTAAAATTTCTAACTGGTAAATGTCCTCATTTGACTCATCTTAAGGAAATAAATAATTTTTTGATCAAAATTTGCTAGAATTTGTTTCAAACTCTAATTTTGTAATCGACATTGTAATCGAATTGTAATATTTACATTCATGTAACTCGTTCAATAAAAATGATACAAACCTCTAATTTAAATCGTGTTAAATTTAAATGTCATTTAACAGTGTATTTGGAAACTGTAGTATTAAATGTACACCAAGCTCTTGAGCATATACATTACACTAGGACTGTTCAAAGTATAGTTTGTAAGTGTTTACCTTACCATGATAGATACCTTTAAAATGAAGAAAGAAAGGAACTATTACTAGAGCACCGAAAAAATCAACAGGAGGAAAACATCAGCAAATAGACGACATTAAAAAATAAATTTTGCGAAGAAAAGTATGCTTATACAAAAAACACGAAATACTTTGTTGAAAAAGAATTTGGAAAAACATAAATTAATGAAGGACATTTTGTCAAGGATACAAGAAAAACAGGTTAGAAATGCTTGTCAGGTGTTTACTCAAGGTTTGTCGACTGCATTAAAATTTCTAACTGGTAAATGTCCTCATTTGACTCATCTTAAGGAGATAAATAATTTTTTGATCAAGATTTGCTAGAATTTGTTTCAAACTCTACGAAATACTATCATGAAGAAACGACACAGAAATAAAATTCTTAAAACTTGATATACTGTTTTAAGCAGTAATGAAGACAATTGTAATATTTGATATAAAAATTGTGCTGAGATAATTGTAAACAAAAATGTTTATAAGCACTTGTTGCGTCAAATAAATCGTTCTCTTAGAAAAAGATATTGAATTTTTACCGTCGAGCTAATACAAATTTTATTGAACATTGATTTCACCCGCGTAACTGACATTTAAAATCGACAGTCACTTCAAGCGTTGTTTCTAAGAGAACTGTTTATTCTACACAAAAAATGCTTATAAACATTTTTATTTAGAATTATCTCAGCTACATTTTTTTTAAACATTTTTTTCTTCGGCGTACTGATTCTTGGTCTGCAGTAATTAATCTTTGGACAAAAATATGTCCAAGATCTAATATAAGTTTGTAAACCTTTTAAGCAATATACCATTATGTAAAAATTATATCTCGTATATCAATAAATTTGTCAGTGTCCTTAAAACTTCATCCCACGTCAAATTTCACCCTATTACTCACTACATTTCACCGCATGACGTCATCTGACACGCTACAGTTTTCACTTCTACCTCTTCCTTTATGTATCATAAAAATTGGCATCCTACACCAGATTCGTCTTCCAAATAAGAAGACTTAAAGTGAGTCACTGTAATATGTCACAGGTAGCGACCGACTCTTAAAACCCCTCCGAGCCTGGCCCCCACCAGAGTACGAGCAAAAGAGCCAACTCAGGTCAACATTTAAAGATGTCGTAATTCCAGGTAAAAGTCCATTACGCATGTGCACCGACTTATCTCTATTTTTTGAACTCGCACGCGGTCTATAGCAACATTTTGAAAATCTACGTTACGGATTGTGTTTGAACTGATTTTTTTTGTTTTTGTGGCTAACGTGTTTTTTTTGTCTATAACCTTTTTTGTTATAGTGTAGTTATTTTTGTAAAGAAGTTAGTGCAGCTGTGCAAATTTACATCTAGGTAATAAATATTTTTAGTGAGTTTTTAAATTATCTACATACGTACTTTCTTAATTATAAATAGTTGGATAAATGCTTAGTTTGTACTCTTGGCAGCCGTGAAGTGTACTAACCAAAATTAATCAAATAAATTAATGTGGATCTTTAATAACATAAATCTTTTTATATGGTAAGGTCTGTTTTTTATTTTAAATATTTGTCGCATCAATTTCTAGGGATATTAGCGAATTATACATGTAGATTATTTATATACAAATATAGACATCAAAATTTGCTTTAAAATTTTGATGTTTTGAATGTAGTTTATTAATTTTTCAATTTCACTCACCCCATTAATGCCCATGGCCAAAAGAGAAACCAAAAATACCTAAATCCTTTAGGACTTGCTTTTAATTATGATCACAATTATATAAAAAAATATTTTGTACATTTTTAAATTTGGTTTTTGCAAAAAAAATGGTGTACCCAAGCAGGTACACCGCGACAATCAGTATAAAATATAATTAAGTAGAAATAATGAACATAAAAATACACACATACCAAGGAAACATTTATTTAAACTAAATAGATACATACACATAAAAAAAACACATAATTAATTATGGGTGAAATATTTTAAAACACTCTCTGCTCAGTGCAAAGACTTACATTGCATTTTTCACACATTCATCAAACTCTCATGTGGCATTGGCGACATCTTCGAGGGTTCGTGGTTCTTTTAGGAAAATGACCATCAGAAGTATTCAGTATACTTTTTGACAGTAAACCAGATGGTTTGATAGATGTGGACCGTCTTTGTATGGCTTTGTTGAAAGCTCTGCAGTTATGTCGGACAATATTTCTTTGAAATAGTAGCAAATCTATTTTGTCATTTTCATTTGTAAACCTATATAGTTTTCACGCATTGACAACTGTTACATTGATCATATGGGTAAAGAGTACCCACTACCATTTTTTTTCATGTATGACGATTCTGTAATTATTTACCCTTTGATCAGTAAGTCCACACTCCCCATTGATAAATTGTAGGATTTTAATAACTGAGATTGAAAGACTGCTATTTTTTCTTTTGTTATACACACCAATGCTTTACTTGTAAAAGGGGCTCTATGGTATCGCAATTGGTACAGCACTGTTGTCGTTCCATCTTACAAATAATATGGCAGTTTCTTAATCGTAGCAATAATCATAATATCCATAATCTTTTCTCTTCATCTCTTTGTCTTCTATAAGAGGACATTTTTTGATACGATTTTCACGAACTGTGCCCATAGCTCTAATACTTTTTTTGTTTCAATGTCACTAAAAGTTCATAATTCGCAAAATAGTTATCGAAAAATATTATGTGATTAGTTGGAACTGCAATAATACTCAGAAGGTCTAAAACACCTTGTGATCCTAGAGGCAGTTTCGACTTTTTCGGTTTTATCTGTTCTTCGTTAGCTGAAGTGTAGCTCTGCAGTAGGTATCAAAAGCATAACAGTAGCCAGTAGAACTGCAGATCATCCAATCCTTGTAGCCAAAACGTACGTGCTTTGATTTGATAAATTGCTTCGCCGAATAGTGGCCAAACTATTTGACCATTGCTTCATCAATGGATAAATTTTCATGAAAAATGCCCCATTGTTAAAACTTAGCATTCGGTAAATCCATAAGCGGTCGTGGTTTAGACATTTTATCAATTTTGTTCAGTTTATTATTGTCTGCCAAATGTATATACTTTTTAATTCCTGTAAACCTATTTCTGCTCATTTCGTTGGAAATAAATAGAACATTCAGGTCTTCATCCAAATTCCAATACATTCTTTCACGGAGTAATTTATGGTACCCGGTTAAAAGAAGGTTAAAAAGAAGGTTAATACCTTTTCCATTCGTTTATAGCTCAATTGGTACCATATATGCTCGTATTCACTGTTTAACGACAACATTTCTCAATGGAATGTTATCATTTGTTTCATCCGGGACATCTTTATTATCAAAATCATCGTAGATAGGATCATCCTTCATTCTATAGTCATCCTCATCGTCGGACTCATAAAGTAACTCGTAAAGATAACTTCAAGTTATCCAGGAACGTCGTTAGGAATTTGGGTTGTTATCAATTTATCTTCATCAAACTATTCCTCATCCGTTTGGTAGTCAACATTTGGTGTAATTATTACCAACTCTATTACAGCACTATTGGTAATCTCTACACTTTCAATATCAGTTACAGCTACTGCAAGCGTTTGATACCTTTTTCCATAAAATGCAGACGTGTTTATTTCAGGAAGACCCTTAGTAGAATTTCAGACCTAAAAAAATATATATTATATTGTATACCCAATGTACCCAAGCAATTTTGCCCAATGTACCCAAGCAGGTACAAAGAAGATTAGGTTGTTAAATCTCCAAGATAAAACAAATTGGTGATAAAATTATATTCACCTGCAATGAAGCCCAAGTAGCACAGATTTTAATTTTGTACGAGGATAGATATACACAAGAAGATATCATACGACATCATACTTTAAAACCGTAGGTACCACGAGACAGAAAATTTTGTACAAAAGCCTGGTTAATGATGTCTAAGGTGCACAACCGCAATTGATGACCATTTTTGGTTGTTAATTCTACACCCTCTTTGGCTCATTGACATCGAAGCACCTCAGAAATGAGCTACTAAATATTAGTTGAGTAAATGGGACTTCCCAGAAAGCCCAGACGACTTGCCAAAGTTCAAAATCATAAGACTGGTCATTTAGAATTAGCAAACACGCATATTCAGTAACATATTGACAACTGGAAAAATGTTCTTTTCATTGATAAAACCAGAATCGTATTATGGAAGCCAGATGGTCGAAACTTCGTCTGCAGAAGAATTGGAGAAAGATTTGCCACCTGTAATCTCGCCAAGACCGTTAGTTTTGGAGGTGGTGGAACCATGCTTTCGGGAAGTATTAGTTGGAAGGTACACGCCGCACTTGTGGAAGTGAATAGACGGATGACTATTGACTCTTACGTTCAAAATATCCTGAAAGATCATGTTTTGCTATATGTTGCTTTAGATTCATGTTAACGTACGGTAATGCTCGACCAGATGCTGCTGCCATAGTGAGTAATTATTTTGATGATGTCCAAATTCGACCATTAGATTGGCCACCATTTAGACCGGACTTAAATCAAATAGAGTACATGTGGGATCAGTTTAAAGGCTGCGTACTTAAAAATATCCCGTTCAAAATACGATAGAGGAGCAGTTTCGACTTGCTGCACTGGATGAATGGAAAAAGATATGTCCAAAATTTACTTATAAGCATGCCGAGAAGGATGCAAGCAGTAATAAGAGCTAGAGGGGGTAGACTTGTTACTGATCAATCACTTGTTTCAGTTAAAAAGTTATGACTTTTTGTTTGTTACTCTCAAATTTGTTTCAAATGCTACTTTTTTTGCTGATAGACGAAAAAAGCGAAAGTTTACCGTTTTTTGACATCAACTTGTTAATAACTAACCAAGTCCAACAAATCGACTGCAGGAAAGATATAAGTTTTTGTTACAGAGGTTCATATTATGACTATACTTAGATAAAACACGTGCATATAAATGCAATAAAACAAGAATTATTCAGATTTGAAAGATTTAAATACTGAGTCTGTGATGATAAAAGACAAACTGTGATGATAAAAGACAAACTGTGATGATAAAAGTAAAATCACGACAATCTATGATTTTAAAGTTACATTACTATTAAACTGGGAATAAGCCACAAATACGTTTATTGACGTTTCAATTTCCACTTCGGAAATCGTTCTCAAAATACAAACAGTTTGTATTTTGAGAACGATTTCCGAAGTGGAAATTGAAACGTCAATAAACATATTTTTATCTTTAATTGTGGCTTATTCCCAGTTTAATAGTAATTAATTTACAATGCCACAAGAAAATAGCTTCAGAACAATTTTAAAATTACAGTAGCATAAATAAATATAGAATAAAAATACTTGGGGCAATTCACAAAACCGAAGAAAGAAAATTACACCTTGGATATAAAAAGAAGGAGAAGAGACTGCTTGTGCAATATTTACTTCATGTAATGTGATAGTCTATATAACTATCATCAAATAAAGTATCTGCAAACTTTTTAATTCAAGCCATTCTTTATAATAATCTATAACTGTAGAAAATATTATTTGGCTGAGAGCCTCCTTGTCTACTTCGCGTTTGTTGATTTAAATAAAGATTATTTTTACAAGCTTGCAGCGGAATCTAAATAAAACGCAACGCTGGCATTCGTGATAGACATACCAGAATTAATTGAATGCCTTTCATAACACTGCATTTATAGAATTTATATACCAGTGGTTTAGTGCATCCAAGAAACATTAATTAAAATTATAATCTTCGATTGTAAATCAATAATAATTGCTTGAGTATAGACACTGTTTATAGGTATGGAATTGAATCGATGATATATTTGGTTCTAATTTTACTTTGGGCTTTTAATGTATCCTCCAAACTAAACACGTTTTTAACGGCTTGTATTTGAAAGCTAAATACACGTGGCAGCTCAATTTAACAATCTGTTATGTGAAAATATTGAATTATTAAGTCTTTATTTGCAGACAAGGCTACACGAAATTTGATAACTTACTATTATTTTACTAATTTAATAAGTGAGTGAATATTAAATGTTCATAGATTTTAAAGAATATCAGAATAAAGATCCAACAAGCCAAAGAAACCTGGCTAAGTGAAAGATGCCAAGAAATTGAAGAGTTGGAACAAAGACATGATACTTTCAATCTACATAAAGAAGTAAAAGAAGCCGCTGGAATATTTAAACAAACTCCTACGTCTTTCATCGAAGATAAACATGGAAACCCGCTACTGAGCATAGAAAATCAAATAGGTAGATGGAGAGAATACGTGGAAGAGATGTTTCAAGACCGAGAGAGGACGAACATTTACATGCAGGAGGCATCGACTGGACCTTATATATCACAAAGCAAGAAATTATCAAAGCAGCAAATCAGTTAAAGAACGGAAAAGCTGTTGGGAAAGATAATATCCTAATTGAAATAATAAAGATATTACTAGACGAACACATCGAAGTAATGGAATATATATTTAACAAAATATACGAAACAGGCATGTATTACAATTAGCTGACATCGGTGTTTATACCACTACCAAAGATAGGAAACTCGAAGAAATGTGAAGACCATAGGATTATTAGCCTGATGAATCACATGTTGAAGCTTTTCCTACGAGTAATACACAATAGAGTATACAATAAACTAGACGAACACACTGGTCAAACTCAGTTTGGTTTTAAGAATGGGTTCGGAACAAGAGAAGCACTTTTTTCAATACGCGTGCTAGTTGAAAGATGTAGAGATGTCGATTCTGATGTACACTTGTGTTTTAAAGACTTTCAGAAGACGTATGACCTGGTGAAACATGATAAACTAATAGATATTTTAAGGTCATGTAATATCGACGATAAAGACTTAAGGATCATTTCAAACCTCTACCAAGAACAAAAGGCTAAAATCAGAATAAAAAGCGAAACATCTGGAAAATCAATATCGAGAAGGGAGTAAGACAGGGATGTGTCCTATCACCTTTGCTGTTCAATGTTTACTCTGAGAAGATATTTCAGAAAGCTTTGGAAGGCACCTCGGATGGTATAATTATAAACGGGCAATGTATAAATAACCTGCAATATGCTGATGACACTGTCATACTGGCAAATAATGCTGAAGACCTGCAATGCTTAATGAACCGAGTAACGACAGCATGTAGTGAATTTGAAATGAAATTGAATACAAAGAAGACAAAAACGATGGTCATCAGCAAGCACCAAAACAGAAGGGTGAAGGTCAATGTCGACGGAACAGATCTGGAAAGAGTAACAAGAACAACGTACCTTGAAAGTAATCTTGATGAAACTTGGGACCACTCACTAGAGATAAGAATACGCCTGGAAAAGGTACGTACAATGTTTTACAAAATGCAAAAAGTTCTATGCAACCGCCAGCTGGGCATCTCATTGAGAACTAGAATACTTAAGTGCTATGTTTTCTCCACCTTTCTCTATGGTGTTGAAGCCTGGACAATGACAGAAGCAACACAAAAAAGAATCCAAGCATTCGAACTCTGGTGTTACCGTAAAATGCTCAGAATATCCTACATGAGCCATAATACAAATGCAGAAGTGTTGCGGAGGATGAATAAGGAAAGAGAGCTTATGCTTATAATAAAAGAACGGAAAACACAATATTTTGGTCACATCATAAGAAATCAAAAGTACGAACTGCTCCAACTTATAATCGAAGGCAAAGTCAATAGCAAAAGAGGACCAGGAAGAAGACACAACTCTTGGCTTAAAAACCTACGGCAATGGACGAACATGACCTCCATAGAACTATTCAAGGCTGCTACAAATAAGATTAAATGGGCAAATGTAATGGCCAACATGCTTAAGGATAAGGCACCCTAAGAAGAAGCGACAACTGTGTTTTCACAAACTTCAGAAGCAATATTCTCCAACTTGTCAGCACCTTTTTCTTTAGATAAAATTGCAGAAAACTGTAATAAAGCTGATACATTACCATATTTTCCTGAAACAATTGTTTCAGCCAATCTAACAAATAGAACTTCAAGCTCGACTTCTGTCACTACTTATGAGTCTGGTCCAGTACTTCCACCTGTAATCAAGACACAGAATCTAAGTGAAAACTCTAATAATACTTCTGCCGAGGCAAGCACCTCCATGAAATATAGTTTTGATGAGATAATTACTCCTCCTGCAGATTTAGCAATTTTAAACTCTGTTTACAAAACCCAAATCTTCTTAATAAAAAAAAACCGCACTCATCCAAAGATTTACCTACACGGAAAACTCTTGAAAATTTTATTGATAATTATACACCACCTTTTGTTTTAAAGTACCACCAATTGTCCTCAATGCTTGATAATATCCAAGGCTCACCAGACACTATTTAACGCCTTCAAACACTTTACAACGGGTATTGTTGGTTTACTTGATCTTTTAAAATACAGCTATCAATATGCAAATGATAGATCAACAAAAACCAAGTTTACAAAACTTCAAAAGAAGCTACTTAACTATTTAAGACAAAATACATCTGACTTAAACAGTACCTCTTCTGTAGACAGTCGTTCGGTATCCTCCAACTCAGAATCTGTTAACAACATTTAACTTGATTTTTTAATGAAACATTAATAGACTTTTCCATCATATTCCTATGCTACAGCTTCTTTTATCTGGATATTCTAAACTGTACAATTTTAAACATTTCACTTGTTTCCTCAAAGACCGTACCGATGCAGATAAAGGATGCTAAAGTACAAGGAAGTATTATACACCATTAAGATCAGAATAAAAGTTACAATATCAAGAAATTATCATAAGAGGCAAATGTTTTAACTTGCTTTAAGTTAACGATGTAGATTATCATGATCACTGCCAACCTTCTAAGAGGAGATGGCACATTAATAGGAAGAAGACCCAAACGTGTGTACGGTTATTTCACTGTTGCACAAATCACATTAAGAACGGTTTGATTTACCTATTAAGTAACTATGGGTCAATCTCGTGTGACCTATACGCAACCGGGGGTTAACTTCACAAACAGTTGTCGGTTAATATCAATATTACACCAAGATGTTGTCCGAGGTTTAATTTTACGTAGCACTGATCTTGCCAAGCACTTTCCCACAACTTTTGTTTAATATGGTATAGTTTCTAGATGTTTTTTGTTATATATTTCATATTAACAAATTATTGTCTAAAATACGAGTATTTTGCCTGCAATTTTTGTTAAGTTCTGTTTATGAATATTTGGATGTTATATGTATATGTTGTCAGTTAGAGCAAATTATTTGTGTGATAAATATATTGATTTTACAGGACTAAACTTAAGACACAATATTTTATTTTTATAGGCGTCAAACGAGTAGCTTGGCCACCACCACACGAAACTGGACAAAACAGTCCATACATAGAGCAAAACCTAGTTCAGACACAAGTAAGTAGCACATTTTATTTCTTGTATACAATAGGTGATGATTATTATTTTTTATTATTCCGGTTTTTTTATAGCGTTCTTTGCCTTCCGGTTCCCAGTTTCTAGCTATGTCGGTCATTCCATTCGCCAGGGTGAAGGTTTCTTTCCGACATTGCCTTCTGAATGCCGCCCAGCCAGGATTATTTTTTCCTTCCTCTCTTCCTTCTTTCCTTTGACGTCCACTTTAAAATTTGGTTTGGCAGCCTCTCGTCGTCCATTCTTGTCACATGACCATACCAGATCAGTTGTCTCCTTTGAATTTCGTCAATGATGGTTGACTTGACTCCCATTATATTTCTGATATGGTCATTTTGTATTCTATCAAGCCTTGATTTTCTAGCTGATCTTCTCCAGAAGTCCATTTCCAATGCAAGTAGGCGTCGCTCAAGGGATCAAGATGGAGTTAAAGAGGAGATGCTATCTTTGATTTGATAGTTCTTTTGACCATAGCATCGGGTTTAGGCATCCTATCACCCTTTTTCCTTTCACGATTCTTTGCTCTATCTCTTTTTCGGTGCGCCCACTCTTGTTGATTGTTGTTCCCAAATATATATATATATATTCCTCACAGTTCTTGATTGTTTCATGTTCGTTGACCATTAGATCTTCTACTTCATTCCCGATACATAAGTATTGCGTTTTGTTTCTATTTATAGATAGGCCCCATTCTTCATATGTTTTAAACAACCGTCTCGTCATGAATTCTAAATCTTCCTTGTCTGATGCCACTACTACTTACTCACCTTAAACCAAATTTATATAAAATCAGTGTTTACGTGAAATTTGGTAAATAAGATGTTTCTATGCTAGAGAACTAACAAGAGATTATATTCGATTGACTGTAGAAGTGCGTTGGGTTATGGGAACGCCACTACAAATACAGACGGAATTACCAGTGCTAAAAATAATGTAAACGATCGTTTTGCCAGCAAGAATTATTTTGAGCCGCTTTCCTTGGCATATAAAGAAATTTACAAACAAATAACAAGCAAAATTTTAAAGGAAAAGAAGAAGTGGCTTGCAGAAACATGTAAAAAGATAGAAAACTTAAAAGAAAAAATACGATGACTCATTTCTCCACAAGAAAATAAATGTACTAACTAGAAACAGAAATAGGTAGTGCAACATACTGACAAGCGCGGCTGATAGGGTCCTGACAACATTAGAATAAATAAAAGACAAAAAGAAAACATATATACAAAATCTATTCCCAGACAACAGAAAAAAAGGTATCAAACTTTGATGTATATTTTCTCGTGAATTATTTAACGCTTCCCGTGGAAAAAAAACTGTGAAGCTGTTAAATCAGTTGTTTCAGCTTCTTAAGTCCGTTCTAATTATAATACAATGTGTTTTCCTTTCTAATCCCTCTTAATCTCCAACGAAATTTAAAAATACTCAAAAAATAAATTAGTAAATTATTTTCGTCTACGCTACTGTTCTCTTATTGAAATTTTGGCGTTCTGTCATGCACTCAACCCATTCCAGATAAACTTATCGGAATTTACAAACAAAACATCATACTCGCGGCGTTGTTTAGATAAATATTTAAATCATTAAACATTTAACATTTGATTTCTGTCTAAAACAGAAGTTATTCGGCTAATAGTAGCATTGTAAAGCTCCTGATATTGAAGAAAATGTCCAAAATACACGAATTTAACGTAAAAATGACCTGTGGTGGATGCAGTGGTGCTGTCGAAAGAGCTTTAAACAAACACGTTGGAAAAGGTGTCGAAGAAGTTTCCATAAGTTTGGAAAGTCAGAGGGTTAAAGTGAAATCATCTTTGCCTGCTAATGACGTCTTGGAGATTATCAAAAAGACTGGGAAGGAAGTTCAGCTTGTCTCATCGTCTTAATGATTTGAGTGTTTTTGTATTTTTATAAAGTTTATATGATGAAGTATTTAAAATATTAAATTTTATGGTACGTAGTTCTTATTATTATACACAGTATATAGTGATTATACATTTATACAGTGGTGTACAAGGTTTGCACTATGCAATATAAATAAATATACAATACAATATGCAATATAAAATATATAGACCGGGGGAATCCCGAAATTTTCAGATTTATTCTATATTAGTTAGATTTTTTATGAAAATACGTATACTATAATTGAAATTTTCCGCATCCATTGGGTATGTAATATTGATTTTATAAAACAATGTCATTTACGTATATAAAAACAATATTTCACTAACTTTAGCAAAGTGTCGGTATTTCTCCGATTATCGGGGTAATTCCGACAGACGTTTGGGGTAATGCCGACAGTAGCAATAATAATAAAATAATGGGACAACTGATGGTATCGCTATATACGAAAACATTAAATACTTGAACGAGAAATACATAAGTAGATATATTAAAAATCAAAAGTTGTTTCTACAACAAAGAACACACACACTGCACTGCACTCAGCGTGAGCCTATTGTCAACAAAACACGCATCAGCAGAGTACGGGTCGGTTGGGCGTGGGAAAATTTTGACAGCGTGGAAAATTTTTGACGTGTGACGTCGCAAGATGGCGGCTGACATCTGTCAACTGTCATGTCACCTGTCCTCGTTCAAACGTGAAAATAGCGTCAATTCTTCTTATTTTCACATGACAGCATTCAAACGTAAATATAGCGATAATTCTTCTTTTTCATTCGTCTATCAAGCTTACGTACCCTCATGGCCTCACGCCCCAACATGTATCAACCAATGATGGCATAAGAGGAACGATCCCAAGTAAACACCCGACCAATGGTGACATAGGAATGTCCCCAAGTAAACGATTGAATGGTGACATGTAAACGCCCCAAACGAGGACCGTGGTATTACGTATCCTCCTACCCCCACACCCATCCATTACGTATCCTCATACCCCACGCCCTGTCCATTACGTATCCTAATGCCCCACACCTTAACATGTAAGTACCAATACGTATCCTCATGGCCCCACGCCCCTCGACCAATGGTGACGTAGGAACCATAGTTCAGGTTTTACACAAAACTCACCACAAACCAAACACATTTCAGTGTTTTCGGATAATAATTCAAAACTGTCATCACATTCGTTGTCATCACATATTTTTGATTCATCTATATCTATATCATCTTTGGAAGACGATTCTTCAAAATTAACTTGTCTTCAACACCTTCTTCCTTTATTTTTAGAATTGCGTTTTAATGCTCACAATTTTATTTGGGATTAATTTTCAACTTTTAATTGTTTACTTTGTTCACTCTTCAACATTTTTAGCTTCAGATTCGGGTTGACCTTTGGATCCTGTATAACTTTTTCTAGTTTACGCTTAGCTTTTAAGTCCCTAATTTTTTTTCTTCTCTGTGTCTTCCAAAACCGTTTTCAGAGGGGTGCCAGTCATAATTACTGAGTGTTGTTTTCTGGAATTTTTTGGATTTTGTTTATCATCATTAAATGATTTTGTCAGAGGTGATACTGATTCCAAAATGTCCGAAATGAAAGAGATTCTCAGTTGATTTTGGACTAGAATTTGGAACAACATTGGTTTTCGAACTACCATGTAATGGATTTTTATAAATCTCATTTATATCTAAGCTGATTGTTGTCTTGGTTCCAAATTTCTGTACCGTATCTTTTGGATTATATTTTAATCTTTAATTTTATCTGACAAGTTTTGACACAAGTCTCGTTAGCGCTTGCAAGCTCCCCAGTGACATTATGATTGTATTCAAGAAGAGTCGCATCAAGTGCTAGTTCATAAGCATTTTCAGAGTCAACGATGACTGGAGTTTAAGTGTCCTGTTCAGTGACAAAGTCTGTATCAGTAAATTTTTCAGAGCTGTACTGTAAGATTACTGTAGCACTAAACCCTGAAACTCCTTTATTTATCATTGCGACTTTCAAGTATGCTTCATTAAATATAGATGCTATGTCACACATAAAAAATTTCTGAAATTGGTTTTGCCTCAAGAACCTATCACACTGTATGTTGAATGCTTTCTTCAGGTGGCCATAAAACGACAAATCCAAAGGCTGTAGTTTATGTGATGTGTGAGGTGGTATTGAGACAACATCTATACGATATAGATCTACAATAATCATAACTAGCAAGAGAGATGTGACTCCCGTGATTGTCCGTAATCAATAAAACGGGATCGTCATCTGTTGCTTTTACGTTGTCTTTGAAATGTGTGAGCCACTGCATGAAGAGGTCTTCATTTGACCAGCCATTATGGGAGAATTTGTAAATGGCTCCAGCTGGTACACCCTTCTATAACTGAAGTGACATTCTCTGTCTAGATTATATAAATATAGGCGGTATGTATGCACCTGAAGCACTCCAAGTGCAGACAATCGTAATGCTTTTGCGTCTTTCCCAACTTGTGACAGAGCCCACCTGATGTTGGCCCTTAGTAGCTAAAACCTTTCCAGGGTGTTGGAGCGTAGATATACCGATTTCGTCCATATTAAATATTCTAGTGGAATTAAAATGATGTTTCTTGTAAATTGTTTTCAAATTGGAAAAAAATAAATCCACTTCAGATTTGTTAAAGGCACTAACTCAGTTCAGACTTGTAACTGAGGGTTGTCTTAGGCTTAAGGTAGCATCCCTCTTACAAAATCCAAAAACCCAATTCTCCCCAGCTATTTTGCTACCTTCATTAAAATTATGTTTTATTTTTAACTTTTCAGCAAGATTATGTGCAAGTATTCGTAAGTCTGTCAAAGTAATGTCATAAAACTAGTTTGATAGTTGTTTGATGTGATCAGCTAATATAGCTTTTGGTAGAATTAGATTTGAGACTGTCATGAAGCGTAATTCTTGGAATATTCAATTCAGCAGCAACATTTTTTACGGATCGTCCACTTTGAAGCAATTCAAATGCCTGTTTTAGTGACTCCTTGTTCCATCTGCCCCTTTTCGTTGTTCCTAAACTTCTTATTATGGCTTTCACTATGCATGTCTTCGTAACGTGGGATGTGAATGTAAGCCTACAAATTTTTAATTGCTATGTTGAGAATCCTGTTTCAACTCTAATTTTTTAGTTGGCGTGGTATGAAGAGATCAATTCTGTCACGGCGTAACTCTGTCCATAGTTTTTTGTCTTGTAGGTTAGTTATTTGTGGCAGACTCTGTAGAATGCTTTCTTTCCCTTGAGGAAGGCTGCTTTAATGTATTTTTGCCATTGAAGCCTGCTGTTATGTACTTCGTAAGCTAAAGCACTTAGTTCGCTCTAATATTCGGCTCTAAATATGAATTGTTGTTCTGGAAATTCCAGTCTTTCCGATTTTTCTTCTTTTTTTTTCTCTGTAGGTAAATCACTTTTTCTATAATCTAGCTACCTACTGGAAGCAAGATTATTGGTCTATAGTTTTGTGGAAATGTGCTATTTTGACTGTTCGGCGAATCAAGATGACACGCGCTTCTTTCCATCGATTGTTGAAGATTTTGTATCTAAGTGACACATTTTGTGACATATTTTGTTAGGTTGTTGATGTAACCATGGCTATTCAGGTCATTGAAATGTAACTTACATTGAGTAAACCTACTATATGACAAATATGACACATTCCTAGCTTTCTAGACTTGTTATTGAACATATTTTTAAGTGACAGCTAAATTCAGCAAAATAATATCATCCATCTAAATACAGTAGTAAAATTACAAAATCTGCTGTTTATAGTACATTGTTTACTTATAATTTAAATTAAATATAAGTGTATTTTGTTATTTGCTTGAACACATCACCAAATTTCCGTAGATATACCTTTCCCAGCAAATCCACACTAATGTTCAGCAGGATTTTATACAGGGTGAAACAAATCAGAATTTATTCTTTTTTTTGTACTTGATTTCCCTGTATAGTATAAGATCCTTAGCCGGAGGAAATTTTTTTAGATATTTTTTTTGTAGTTCACGCAAGACGTTCGGATTTTGGTAAATTCTTGATATAAAGGTTGTTTTTTTCGTAAAATAATAAATATTTCTGTACATTTGAAAGGTCAACCTTTAAGATTATTAAAAAATTAAGAAGATAACCATTCAATATTAAAATAAATTAAAAATTGTACACGAAACAAGCCACTGACTTTGCTTCAATATTTATTTTTAAATACCAATTTTTTTTTTCACCTAACTTATATAATTATATATTTTTTATTCATAAATTATGTTTACTATAAACATGAAAATAAGAATCTTTTATTCGATAAAAGTAAATACAAAATTTAAAACTGTTTGCGTAAACTACACCAAACCCTGTTGATATAAATTATATATTGTTTTTCAAAATTATTCCTTTTTAAACAGGGTGGACCTCAATATCCCTCTCAGGCTGCAGGCTACCAGAATAACTACCAACAACCAAAGCCAGCTCCCTCTAACCAAGCCTTATACCAACAACAACGCGCGCCATTGAAACTAGACGTGTCTCAAGGCGGATCTTCACCCTTGGCTTCTCCTCTATCTAATCAAAGCCCACACGGTTACAGAGCCCCAACTCCGAACAAGAATTGGGCATCTGTACAATCTCCAGTGCATACTCCTAACCAACCCTCCTGGAGACAAAGCAGCCCTTCTAGATTCCAAGCTGCGCACCAACCTGTATCCCAGCAACAGTTTCTTGGACAACAGTACTCTGGTCCTTCTCAACCAAATTATAGTCCAAATCAAGGCTCCCAGCAATATCAGCCTTCTGTAAACCAATATCAACCTCAACAGCAATATCAACCACAACAAAACCAATACCAACAGCCCCAGCAGCAATACCAACAACCCCAGCAGCAATACCAAGCTCCCCAACACCAATACCAAGCTCCCCAACAACAATATCAACCTCCCCAAAACCAATACCAAGCTCCTCAAAATCAATACCAACCTCCACAGAGTCAAAACCAATTCTCTAGCTTCGCAGCTCAGGCTGTACCCTACCAATATCCTTCTGAACAACAATATCAAACTCAATCTACTCAGCAATATCAATATTCTCAACAATATCAATCTTCCGAACAGAATTACCAGTCTCAACCTCAGGGTTATCAGTCCGTTCCACAATCTTCTCAAGTGCATAGTGTTCCAATACAGGTATGATTGAGAGTGTTGAATGTTGAATAACAAAGCCAAATAAATACAATAATTTGAGCATGTCAGTTTCCTTCAACTTCGAACTGAGACTTGCATTATGCTTTCTAATAACACTGTGTTCTGAGCCTGCTTTGCCGCTTTTAAGAGTAGTCTGTGCTTTTGGCCTACTCTCACCGCCCTTAGTTTGTTTTACTCACAAGTTATATAATTTTTTTAAAACTAACGCAGATACTTTCTCATAAATACAATCAAATTTAAATCGAGTAGTAAAAATCCTAAGAAGCAGTTTATATCGTAGATTATAAGATAACTATAGAAATATCCACAACAGTGGCGTTAGAAAAAATACTTTACTCAAAACGTTTACCCAATTAAGAAAATTAAAAAGCCAGTTCAGTGAGATGATAAACCACTTGTTAGTCGCCACTTTGCCACTCGATTTTTATTGTTTTGTACACTCTAATAAACTTAAAAATAGTTGATATATTATTATTACTTAGTTCACACTTTTCAGGTCATTTTGGTCAGAAACAAGACAAAAAAAAATTGGTGGTGTAAATAAGCTTATTTTTAAATTTGACGACAAATCAAACATTATTTTGACATTATCGTCGGTTTTATGCAGTGACTAAACAAATCTTTTATTAATTATTTAGATTTTTCATGTAATAACTTATTATTTACCCTATTGAAAAAACATGGAAAAGCACCAGTCCCAGACCACATATACATAGAGGTTCTAACAATATTGAGTGGAGACAATATAGACACCTTGGTGGATCTTTTTAATGCCATTTATGGGTCCGGTCAAATACCACAGGATTGGCTTAAATAAATCTTTATACCAATCCCAAAAAAGCCAAACTCTAATAGTTGCGACCAATTCCGAATGATCAGCTTATTGAGCCAGGTCCTAAAACTCTTTTTAAAGATAATTCACACAAGAATATACAACATATGTGAAAGAGACATTAGCCCCACACAATTCGGTTTCAGACGAGAATTTGGCACAAGAGAATCACTTTATAGCTTAACTGTCCTCCTTCAGAAATGCAGAGATCAGCAAAAACATGTCTTCCTATGCTTTATAGATTACCAGAAAGCTTTCGATGGTGTTAATCATTAAAATTAGTATGATTGCTCCAGGAACGTTCGATAGATGACAATGACCTTAAAATCATAAAGAACCTTTATATGAATCAAGTGGCATCTGTGAGAGTAGGACTGGAATCTACATCATATTTTTCAATTGAAAAAAGTGTACGACAGGGTGGTATTCTGTCATCCCTCGTCATGCCATGCACTCTATAGAGCCACACAAGATCGAGACGGGTATGCCAGAATTGTCGCCAACATCCACTAATTGGATAGGGCACCATAAGAAGAAGATTTACCCTGTTAAACACATGGCAAAATATATATTACACGGACAAGTGTATAAGGCTACACTATTGCACAAAATAAGCAGAAATCAACTCTACAACAGGCACTCTTGCTGGTCATGCGCCAGTCAAGGAAGAACTGGGGTGGCTCTTAGAGGGGTAAGCTGCAGATTATGTAGCAAAAAACATGAAACAATCAACCATATCTTCCATAAAGGAGACCCCGATAGATCGCATTAACAAAGGCGATCATACTTAAGGCATCACACCTGAAAAGGAAGGCATTTAACCAATGCATCTTACCAGTCTTGACCTACGGAGCAGAGACCTTAACTTTAACGAAAGCTACTGCCAAAAAACTGAGGGTAACACAAAGGCTAATGGAGAGATCAATGCTGGGCCTGACCTTGAAATATCGCGTAAGAAATGAGGAGATACGCCGACGAACTGGCGTAGACGATATTATACTGCGAATCAATAAACAACAGTGGAGGTGGGCTGGACATGTTGCTAGAATGGAAGACGAAAGATGGACGAAGAGATTATTGGAGTGGAGACCAAGAGCCGACAAGCGAAGTCGAGGCAGACCATCCACCGGATGGACCGACGACCTAAAGAGAATAGAAACAAACTGGATTGCAGCAGCTAGAGATAGAGAGAACTGGAGACGTTTGGAGGAGGCCTATATCCAACAATGGATGTGAAAATGCGGCTGGATGATAATGATAGATCGCAGGCATACTTTTTGAAAGACCATCAAAAATGACTCCAAAAATATAAGCTACTTATTCACGTGTAGCACCTGGTCAAGCAATTTACAATTCTAGAATGAAAATCCAGATAAATAAATGGAAGATGAAGAAGTTTACAGAAATAAAAAGCATTTTAGCTACCTTTTTAAAGAGAAAGATTTCTACTTATTTATAATATATTATTCTAACTCACTACATATGTTTTAGGTACAAAGACAAGCTTCAAAACCTGTGGAACTTCCCCCATCTACCATCACTCTCCGTCCTCAGGCTCCAGTGAGCCAGGCTCCACCACCAGTTTACACTTCTCAACCAGCCACGGCGACCCTTAAAGGTAAATATAAGGAAACAAGTGGAGATTTCAGAGATATTTTTAATTTGCAAACTTTTTAATAAACGGTTGTATGAAAAATATTTTTAATCTTCTGAGAGTAACGTGAGTACTACTTTATTTGAAAAGAGTCCATCACACATTGCCGAATGTGTGACGAGAATTTTATTTATTTTGTGTATTTTAAGTTTATTAATATTAATATTTCGTAATTATTAATGCAGGACTATCTGATAATAAAGCAGTATATACCAAGTTTAATACTCTTAAGAAACCGTCCTCGAAGCCCCAACGATTAGGTAGGATTTTTTCCGCCCAGAACTTTCGTTAATTCCAAAATTTAGCAAATGATACTGACACTAGTCCCAAGGGCATTGTATGTGGAGTGCCATAAGGTTCAGTACCGAGTCCTCTCCTTTTCCTCATCTTTATAAATGACTCTTATCTGAAATTATAAATCACTAACTTAAATAATCGATAGCCTGGAGGAACTCTTATCTTAAAACCCTTCATGCAATTATAATTTTTAATCTACTTAAAATAAAAACCTAGTCCGGCTCTAATTTACTCTCTTTTAACGTGGATAAGACAGTAGCATTATCCTATAAAAGAGCTTTTTAACCCTTGCTTCTTAATAACAGCCAGCTCAGTATCGTTGATTCTGTAAAATTTTTTGATGTTTTTATAGTATATAATATGTCTTATAAATATTTTTTTGTTTCTCTGTCGTTTCTGATTTTTAATTTTCGTTAAAACCATGGTTTTTGTTAGTGATTGTATAGCTCTCATTAATTTTTTGTTTTTATACAAATGTATTACCACTAGATTTACGAGCAACTCATGCTACGACATTTTATAAAGTTTGCAAATAGTTGACATATTTTATATAAATGATCATTTTAATTTGTCAGATTTACTCATAGATAAAGACCATTCAAGAAAAACACGATGTGAACAAATATGTATTATGGAAAGAATCTGGTTTAAGTTTTGATACATAGCACAAATTTTTGTATGAAATTTTTATAAACTTTTAGAATAATGACTACCTATATCAAATACGTTATTTATGTCTTCTAGGACGTTTTTAAATAAGATTGAATATATTCTACTGAATATAAGATAGCTATTTCAAAATTTAAGCCACTGTTTTTAAATTTTTTATAGCTACTTGAACCAGATTCTTGTAATTTTTTATTGACAGTTCTTCTTAATCAGCTTTCTTGGTATAACGCTAGAAGATAGTACATTCGCGAATATAAAGGAATTTTGCCGACTGCGTCTTTTTTTAATGTATTGTGTTTATTTGTTGTCTATAACATTAACAATGCCTTTAGAAAAGATGGTTGATACTAACTTTTTTATTATCACTATGTAAAGCTTTAATTTATCTCTTTTATTAATCCTTCATTCAATTTAATTCCTTAACATTTTCAATTTTTTTAATAACAATGGAAATGCACTTAATTTACATGATTAATCAGCATTTTTTCTTTAACCCAAAATTTCCAAATGAAAATTTGTAATATATTGTATCAATTAAGGCTCATCCAAGTTTTAAATGAATATTTAAATTTTTAAATGCACTGCTAACCTCTTTGTTACGGCTACACTGCAAATTTTCTTCTTCAAGTTCCATCTTCTATTGAAGGTTGGAAATCATCATGGCTCTGAGGACCCTGTTGACTGCCGTTTTAAATAGTTCTGCACTACTACATTCAAACCATTCTCTCAAGTTCTTAAGCCAGTATATTCTTTTTCTTCCCACATTTCATTGCAATATAAGTTGCAGTAATGATTCTTTTCAATGATCTCAAGTTTTGTATCGTTGACTTACGTTAATTCAATACTTACATAAGCTCAAACGCTTAGTTCTTTTGATACTTCGTACGTGATGTTGATCGAAAATTTTAGTTGTTTTAGGGTGCTATTTAACCAATTAATACTTCTCTAGTTTTTTGACTGTATTTTATGCATTTTTTAACAGAAAGATCGCTAGTTCTTCATTGTTCCAGTATTTTATTGTGTTATTTGTTTTGTTATTGCTTTACAATATTTTAGCAGTTGATTTGGTATCCCACGTTTACCTGCTACTTTTTTACTTCTCAGCTGTTCAAGTATTTTTTGAATTTCCTACTTGTTGATAATGACTTTTTTAGATAAAGCTTCTTGAGATAGTCATTTAATATATCATTTTATATGTTTGGAGTCTATTAGTTTCTTCACACCCGTTTGTTCTTTGACCTCTTATCAGACGCCATATTTCCTTTTGTAGACCATCAAACGAAACCATTGTCAAGATATATGAAAGGTCGAAGACTTTCAGTTTTCCGTAAGCTGCCCATTTTAGTTCTATTCTCCTGGTTAACTCTGTTGTTTGATTGATGTTTCTACCTAATTTACTCTCGTGGCCCAGATACTTATCGGTATACACTTCTTCAATTTTTGTTCCATTAGTTGAAATGTTTTTGGTCAGTACAAGATTGGTCATATATTCTGTTTTGAAAAAGTTAATTTTAAGGCCAATTTATAAAGAGCTTATATAAATGAGATAACAAGCGGATAGGTCTGTATGTTCCAATTTTTGGTACATCTATTCAATTTTTTTGGTCTAATTCCTACAAAGAGTTTTCCTAATGTTTTCATTTCACTTACAACACCATCTTCTTTAGGTGTTTTGTTGTTCGTCAAACCTGTTAATGCTGATTTAACTTCCTTTTCGATTATATCTTGCGTTCCTCTTATCGTTGATTTAGCCATCATCCAATACTTTCAGTAAGCATAACTTCGCAGATCACCTAAGTCACTTAACAAAATATTTTATCTCGGCACTGGTTTCTAAACTTAATCTTGGCTTTTTAGTTTTTGCTTTCTCGATTGGATCATCCGTACTCTTTTCAGACCATCTTGTCTTGGACCTTCCTTTTCTACGTTTGACGTTAGCTTTTATCCATACAATATCTTTTATTTTCTATTCTATCTCTTATTTTCCATATTACATGGATGTCCCAACTATTGTAGTTTTCGTGTTCTTACAACTTTACATATTTCAGGTTTTTTTGAGGAGTTCATACAGTTTTTATTGCTTCTTCCTTCTCTTCCATCCTTTTTATGTAGTCGCACACGCATCGCCCACTTTTTAGCAGCATCAAGAATGGTAAGTCTCAATACTATTTTGAATACCCTTTCCTTAACCTTCAAAGATACAAAGTATTTGTGTCAAAGTTTTTGCATTTATTTTCTTTGGCTTGCCGTTTCTCAATTTCACAATCTTCCTCTTTGTCACAATCTTCTATGATCACCCTCAAATAAAAAGAACTTTCTACTTTTTTGAATTTAATTAGCTTTCCGGATTTTGTATGTATGTATTTCCTTCTTCTTCTTCTTATAGTGCCGTGCAGCTATAGTGCATTGAATTATCTAAAGGCCAGACGTCTGTCTTTTGCGGCATGCAAAAGATCATCAGTGTTATTTATGCCTGTCTAGTTCTCAATGTTCCGTAGCCATGACATTTGATTGCGACCTACTCCTCTCTTGCCTCCAATCTTTCCCTGGATGATTAGTTGAGGGATTGCGTATTTTTTTCCTCTCAGAATATGGCCAAGGTATCCAATTTTTCGTACCTTGATCAAATTGAGTAGTTCTCTCTCAGTATTGGCCTTTCTTAAGACTTCCTCGTTTCTCACCTTATCTGTCCATGGTATGCGGAACATTCTTCGCAACGTCCACATTTTGAAGGCCCCTAACATAATAATGGAAGGTACTCTTAACGTCCATGTTTCCATGCCGTATAACAATATGGACCATATACCTATAGCATTTAACCATCCTGTAGCGGAGGTTGAAGGAAAGATTGCGGTTAAATAGTAGCGGTTTAAATTTGATAAAAGATATGTACTTCCAAAGTATTTAAACTTCTTGTACCCCTTCTTTATGTATTAATAGTAACAATGATGCTTTCCAATCTTGTAGTATTTGTTCAATTGCCCAAATTCTTTTAGTAAGTTCATATACTTTGGTTGTCAGCAAATTTCCTCCGTTACCTTATGTTTTCCGTGGTTATTTAAGTTTCTCCTGGGCTCTTATTAATATTTCACCTCTTTCGAGTCTTTAATTTCCATGTCCGCCTATATATTTTCTGTCACCTATTCCATATCAAACTTTTCTCCATTCTGTAATTCGTCAAAATATTCTTTCAATCTATTCATTGCATCATAAATGGTTAAATGGGAGATCAACCATAAGATTTCCATATTTGATTTTACTGTAGTTTTCTATTGTATATACTCCTGTCTGAATATTTTCTTTTTTCATCGTCCCCTGATGTACACATATATCTATATTCTTCTCTGACATTTCTTTAGATATTTTTTGTTTTTTGTGTTAAAAGATTTCACGCTCCAGGTACTCATTCTAAGTACGCTTTTTTCTCCTTCTTCCTCTTTGTAAGCAATTCTGCTTGTTCATTGGCGGATTAATATCTCTATGGAAGGTTATCACTCCATCCTTTGCGCGGTCATTGTATTGATGACACGGGTCTCCTCCATTCTGCTTATGTAGCCTTTCTTTTTTTATTTCTATTTTGTGTCTATTCATTTATATACTATACGTTACATTTTCTTTTAATGTCTAATGAGTACGTTCTTGTTTCGTATAAATTCGTTATCCTCTTTCTTGCGTTACTCGTCTTCGTTGGATCTTCCCTATTACAAGACATAATCCTATTTCTGTTAGCTGTAGGGACTTATAGTATGTTAGGAGAATGCTAACCTGGCTGTTTACTCCCTCCCCTTTATTTGAGCTTAAGTCCGGCAAAATTTTTGATGAGCTACTCGATTCACCAAAAGCACTGCGCATTCTTTTGCTAATAACTTAATAACTGCTTGCTTTCTAAGACACTGTTAAACGTTCCTAAAAACGAACGATTAAGATCGAAACACGCTTGTAACTCTCTTGAGGATAATGTGAATGCAAAGCTGATTTCGAAGGCCTGTATCTCTTCTATCAATTCACCATCCACCAGCTTCATTTAACACCCTCTTCAACCGTCGGCTAATTCGTCAATAATTTTTCCTTTTATAGTTAAAGTCAATCCGAAAAATTTACGAGGAGACCTAAAATGGCCTCCGGAAGATGTAAAGCGAAAGATGTACGAAGAAGCTGAAAACCTTAATACTAGTAATAGTTTCCTTTCTATTCAAGGTGGAAAAAATCTCCGCGGAGATATGAAATGGCCCCCAGAAAACGTCAAGGTTCAAGCCGAAGAAGAGAACAGGCTACGTCTTGAATTAGCCAAAGGACCTGTTTGTAGGCCACGTAAAGTGCAAAGGGATTACACCGCGTTCTTTGATCAGCATGCTCTAAATTCCACCTATCCCGGGTACAAAATCCCTCCAGGTACCCAGTTTTATAGGGCTGAATAAAATGTATTTTAGGTCTTTTGTTATTTTCTAATTTAATATGCTTATTTGTAAGTCTCATTTGTTATTAACACATGGTCTGTATAAGATTAACTATCTCATAATTTGAAGAGGATGCATTATCTTTAAATGTGCATTTACAGAAAATACGAAAACCTTCTCACAGGAAGGCACATTTAAAGATAATATTAATTTAATTAAGATTTTTCTTATGCAGAAGCTATGTAAATAAATATAAGCCGCTACGTTTGTGATAATAACAACCTGATGTACCTACTTACTTGATTAAAAATTAAAAAAATTCGCTTTTTACCAAAATGATATAGTACATGAACAGCAGAACCATACAAACTTTATTGTCTGTTAAAAAAGAATTTCAGTTCCGATTCTAATAGAAAGAAAAAATGCTGTGTCTATAATTTGTCAATTGTCAATTGTTATGTGTCATATGTCACTTGTTTTGTGCCACATCCATTCATAGTTCTCTGTTCATGTACTAGACAATTATAGGTACAAAAGGTACTAAGCTGAACTGATTTTTGAGCAAATAACTAAATGTATTATACTGAAATGTATTTTGCAATTGTATAAAGATAATAAAAATATGTAAAAAAAATTCGATTTTAACCTGCCGCTTACCGAACCCTAAAATTGGTCGACACGACTGCTTGCTATTGATTGCAGCAACTACTATGTACATTATTATATAATAACTAGGTTTTAATTACTTATAATGTATAAAAATATTATTTGTACTGTGTACGGCAGCAAAAATGTTAAATAAAGGCAGAGCCTGATTGATGTTTTATTTAACCCTTACCTAATAAAAAGAAATGAGCCATTGCGACACACCTGGTAGATGTGAAACACCAAAAAATAGACATAATTGGTTTACAACTCCTCCAACTATCATGATTCCCAAACTCTGTTCCTTCATATTTGGCCAAAGGTCATCCCTGAGGTTTCTCAGTTTTAAAAAGTTCTTTTAAGGTTTCTTCATTATTCTGAGTGTATTCACCTCCCTTTTTTTGGAGTAAGCTATTTATCTAAAGGTCCTTTGTAGTCTGTTCAATATCCTTGCATTGCCTTTTCCACGATGATCAGTTTCTTCTCATATTCAGTTAGAGCTTTGCAATAATCGTCCCAACTATTTTATTTGTTAGCTTAATTAAATTTTTTCCCCTTTTCCTTTGACTTGCAAGATTATTGTTACACTATTTTCGGACAATTATATTTTTAGCTAACGTGACAATCTCTTGACACTGTTCGGTAGCCTTGCCAAGATCCAGTGTATGCTGTATCATCTCTATAACTATGCTAAGTCGGCATGCTATGATTATTACTCTTCTTCACTATGGTTACAATAAGCTACCTTGATAGACTCATTGCCTATTATTTCATAGCAGACGTCTCGATGGTCTAAAAACAATACTTCATATTGTTGAAGACAGTTGCAATTTTTAACAGTTCAATTATCTCCTTTCGTTGTATAGTTACGAAAGTTGGTTTTTTTCCTATATTTATAAGATCTAAATCATATTCCATATCAAACATGTCCCAGTCGATAATTAGATCCATTCAATTTATCCTGCAATTCCTCACTAGATGTTTAGTCTTCCTTGGTGGTGTTAATTTGCTGTCATGATATGGGAGGTATGCTGATCTGAAATTTATTCTTTTATACTCTATTCTTCTATGATTTTAATCTTTCTTCTTTTAAATATGCCTATCTTCTAGAAATGTTAGCGACAACATTGAAGATACCTTATTGATCGAGAAGACTTTTCTATCCTCGCCGATCTTCTTCCGATTTTTTAATTAACAGCCTTCTATCTAAAGGTCTTGATTTTGTCAGAATTTCATCAGTTTCCTTCTCAGAGACTCGAGTGAGGACCATGAGACCCTTAGGCATGTTATTAGGATTGACAACATTTAAGTCTCTTCCCTTTCACAGGCTTTTTATAGCCTTCACCACATAATTACTCATTTTCTATTCCTTAGTACAGTGCAATCTACGTTACAGATTAACCATACATAGTCCTGCAATACAACTTCGTTCCTCCTATGTTCCAAAAAAAGCTGACGCAAAGCAGTGGCTGTATCTCTTTCTTAAGGGCCGAGATTATCGACCACTTGATCTAAATGACGAAACGAAGGTAAACCCCCCTCAATCCTAAAACCTACCTACGCCCGTGCCTTAAATGTATAGTAACCACAATAGTAACCTATTTTGAAGGGAGATACAAATTGGTTGTTAAAATAGATGTCAAAATGTCATCAATTTTAATCTTTTAACAGACTGACATTAAAATGTACTGTATTCAAAAGCAAAACTATTACAAATCCATCTAAACAAATTCATGTTTAATAAATTCAACGCTCGTATTCCTCTCAACATCACGAAAATGGCTTAGGATGTCTGATCAAATTAACCAAAATCTAAGAACAGAAACCCAACAATGGAACCATTTTATGAGAAGCTTTTCTTGGGCAGCTTCTCTGCAAGGAAGTATCGCATACTTTTTAATGTCCATACATGCTGTAAATCCTTATATACTTATTACGTACGTAAGTAAAACTATTTAAAAATAACTAAAGTGACCTGAAGTGATCTTAAAGCTTTCTTTATCTTCCACCGTCTACATTAAAGATTGGCAATAATCTCAGCAAAGTAATGTCTAGGTTGTGTATCCCGAAAACAATACAAGTTCTTATATTGTTAAACTACGAATATTTGCATCTTCCCATTTTTATTTTGCCTTTTATTTTTTTTTTAATTTTCTCTTCTAAATGTGCCCTCTCTATTACTAAAGGTTGGCTATAACTACAGTAAATTGCTCTCTATCTTGATCTTTTCTAAGTATCAAATGTGTATCTGGAGGCCAAATAATCACTTGAAAAGCTTTATTCTACTGTTTATTGTAACATGGCCAAGATATACAGTTTTTCTCTATTTTTTGTTAGAAATCAAATCTTTTTCTTTCTTGATCTTTTGAAAAACCTCCTTATTTATTACATGATACATCCAGGATATTTTCAAGAGTCTTGTATAAATGCTCATTACAAAGGATTCTAAGCATCTAAAAGATGTTACTTTGTACTGAGTAATAAGAACTAGGTAAACATAAGCTGAAATTGCTGTTGAGTTACTTGTTACATTTCTCATTATTTCTCATTATGTCAAAGCCCGACGTTACCAAAGAACCCAATTATTTAAATTTATTCACAATTTCTATGTAATGGCTTTAATTTTTTATAAAAATAATGAATTGTAAGTGGTTGACAATGACCAGAGGGTTGCAAAAGTGGTCGCTTAACTCCACATCTCTTTTTCTTTCTGAAAAAGAGTTGCCACCTGTTTGTTTGTCAAATGGATGGCGTATTGTATTTTTCCCAAAAAAGTAATCGAAATTGACCAGAGGGTAGTAAGAAGTGGTCACTTATCAGTAGATCTCTTCTTCTTCTTTCCTGAAGAATAGTTATTACTTGTTTGTTTGTCACATGTATGACGTATTATACTTTTCCCGAAGAAGTGATCGACAATGAGTAGGGGGTTGCAAGAAGTGGTGGCTTATCGCTAGATCTATTCATCTTTCTCCTAAAGGGTTTTTAAGTTCTTTTATAAAATTTGTCTTGATGTCTCTTTGTGAGATGTGTCTTGAGATGTACGTACTAAAACGTTAAGATTCTCAACTTTTGACAATTGGACGGACAAGAAATCGGAAATAGAGTTACCTGCTTGTAGATTTTCAATTTTTTAACTAGAATATAATACTTCCTCTAGATGACAAACAAACAGGTGGCAACTCTTTTTCGGAAAAAAAGCAGATATGTGGAATTAAGCTACTACTTTGTAAAACCCTCTGATCATTCTCGATCACTTCTTTGGGAAAAAAAGAGATCAAGCGATAAGTGGCCACTTCTTATACTCTTCTAATCATTGTCAATCACTTGTTTTACTTCTTCAACAGGTGGACTTAAGGTCAACACGTACCAACTACATCCTCCACATCGGGAAACTCGATAAACAGGTTACCAAAGTGGTCCAGTTCCTCGCCTTCTTCTTCTTCAGGTGCCATCTCTGCTACGGAGGTTGGCAATCATCATAGCTATTTTAATTTTTGAGACAGTAGCTCTAAATAGTTGTTTGAGCTACATCCAAACCATTCTATCAGGTTCTTAAGCCATGAAATTCGTCTTCTTTCGATGCTACTTCTGCCATCTATCTTTCCTTGCATTGAGTCGCAGGATGCCATACTTCTCGCCCCGCATCACATGTCCGAGATACTGTAGCTTTCTTTCTTTAATTGTAAGTTTATCAGTTCATGAGTTCCTCGCTAGCTTATTACTATTGTATTAAGATGCCATAAGATGCCAATATTTAACAAATGTATGGAAAATGCAAATGAGGGCATAAAAATAAACGGCGAGTTAACGAACAATATAAGATATGAAGACGACACGGTGATCCTTGCCAGTACCATAGACGAATTACAACAAGTAATGGAAAGACTTTATTCAGTTAGTGAGGAATACGGCCTGAGCCTTAACTTCAAGAAGACAAAGTGGATGCTGATAAGCAAAAAGCAACAACCTGCTCGACAATTACGGATAAGTAGCATACTAATTAATCATGCAGAATCTTATGTGTACCTTGGCACCAACGTAAATGCAAAATTGGAACAGACCATAGAAATTAAGGCGAGAATAGAACTAGCTAGAGCAGCATTTAGCAATATGAAAAAGCTCCTCATAAGCAAGGATTTGTCTCTTCCCCTAAAACTACGTCTAATTAAATGCTACATGTTTCCTATCTTGCTGTATGGCGTGGAGGCCTGGACGCTGACGGAGACGCTAACGAGGAAACTAGAAGCATTCGAAATGTGGGTGTACCGACGCATTCTTCGTATATCCTGGACTGAACATGTCACCAACATAGAGGTACTCCAAAGAATCGGAAAGGAGAAAGAGATCGTGAATACAATTAAACAAAGAAAGCTTGAATATCTAGGCCACATATTGAGACACGATAAGTGCCGTCTGCTACAATTGATTGTCCAGGGAAAAATAGACAGTAAGCGAGGGCCAGGCAGGAGAAGACACTCGTGGCTCCAAAATCTGCGGAAGTGGTTCGGGCTCACATCGGTCGAACTATTCAGAAGCGCCGCAAACAAGATCAAAATTGCCATGTTAATAGCCAACGTTCGCAACGGACAGGGCACTTGAAGAAGAAGAAGAAGATGCCACGAGGAAATGGCTTCAGACTAGTGTATATTTTTGACTGGTAATTCAATATTTCTATAGAAAACAAGGGTAACGTAACTGTAGTCATGGACAAAATTCAATACCAGGATAAAATCCGAGAACTAGTCAAAATGGACCATACAAAAAACTACAGAAGGCCCTATCCAAATCATTGAAGAATAAAACATACAGAAAAATATCTAAATTTAGGGAATTCTTGACAGACTACCAAAGAAAAACATTAACATTCTACTACAAAACATGTCACTGCACCTGTATATCCCAAAAAAAACCCAAAGAAAACGTATCACTTGGATAAATTTGCATTAGCATGTGTCACATTGGTCACTTTAAGTCGGTTAACAAGTTTCTTTATTTATAAAGAGCAATAAATGGAAAGGGGCTAGACAAGTAAAGACGCAGTTAGTAGCCGTTTATAAAAATAAAGGCAATATTATTTTAATAGCAGTGTATGTTGGAAAACACAACTCTTTAGTAATAATCAAATATTACTTAGTAACTAATTTAACATTAATATATTTTTCAGGATCTTTGGAGTTGATCCCTACTACTTTCTTTGGGTAACAATGGTATATGGATTAGGCATTATGATACTATCAAGACCTGCAATGAGACCTATATCACCCGTTAATCGAATAACCTTTGGGTAAGTGTCTATGACACGTTACGTCTTATACGTCATAGAGTAAGTGTGTATTATAAAGTTGTAAAAAGTTTTTTTAATGTAGGTATATAATTTGAAGTATTGTTTGTTAATAGTGTTGTCTAACATTCAGGGTTTTGAAACTTTTCTTCCTATTTAACAGCTTGTTTGGATGTATTTAGGAGCTTTAATAATCCTTGTCATGTCTTACTTTTTATAGTATTTTGTTATTAACCACAATTTGATATCGTGATCTTTGTTAGGACAACAATGTAGATACTTATTCCGTTTTCTTTTTCCTATAAGATCGAAACCGCTTGGTAAACTCTTCATTTTGATTTAATATTTTGGATACCTAGCTTTCCGGTTAGTTAAATTTCTTAGATGCTGAGGGTTTACTTTTGACATAATATCCTCTAATATCAATATATTTTATCCAGTAACATTTCAACGCCGTTTTCCTTTTCTGAAATGTTTCTTGGAAAGCGGTTTAAAGTGCAGATCTATAATTAAAATGGCTTCTTGATTAGACAGAAAAGAACTAATAACTGTCTCATAATTATTATGAGACAATATCTGTTGTTTCAATCAACTGCTTAGATATTGTCAGTGACCATGATCGATAGAATAGAATAGAATAGAAATATGCTTTATTGTCACTGAAAATTATTGAACAATTTTATGGACAAAGCTAAAAAATAAATCAGTCAAATAGTACAAAAAGTATAAAACAAAAACAAATATAGTAAAAAACAGAATAACACAATTTTAAATTAGTAAAATTATTGTATAACCTACATAATTTGTACAGACAACAACAAATGAGACAAATTGTAGCCACTGCTTGAGACACCCAAATGTAATTATAAACAATACTAATTTTGTTTCTTTGTTATACATTAAGAAACTCGTCAACTGAATAATATGGTCTTTCTGATAGATTTTTGTCACCTTACGAAACTTAATGAAGGATGTTGCGGATTTAATTTCTCTTGGAAGGTGATTATAAAGTTTCTTTGCACGATATAGAATAGAATTCTTTACTAGCTGAGTGGACGGGATCGGCAAATAAACGTTACAATCCGAATATCTAATGGAGTAGCCATGGTCAGGTCTATCGGGAAAAATGTTTAGATGCTTTCGAATCAAACAAACCGTTTCCAAAATAAATAAAGAGGGAAGCGTCAAAATTCCGTGATTTTTGAAGTAGGTCTTGCAATGAGTTGTTTGTTTGAGACCAAATAGATAACGCACTACTCTTTTTTTCAACTTAAAAATAGTATCAAATTGGGCCGCTGTACTAGAACCCCAAAATGGAAGCCCATATCGAAGATGGGACTCGAACAATGAGAAATATGCCATTTTGGCAGAAGATAAATTTAGTTCCTTCGAAACAGATCTTATTGCAAAGCAAGCTGAGGCTAGTTTCTTCCTTAAGGAGTCAGTATGCAAGGACCATTTGAGATCACTGTCAATGAGAATACCTAGAAATTTCACGGAATTTACGATATTGATTTGGCTCTCATTCAAAAGCAAGGGTTGCATGACTCCTTTATAAGATAATGCTACAGTCTTATCCACGTTAAAGTTAAGTAAGTTGGAGTCTGACCAAGCCTCGATTATAAGTAAATCATCGGTTATAATTGAATGAAGCGTTGAAATATCAGAGCTGCTCCAAGTAATACTGGTATCATCAGCAAATAGAAAAATTTTCCCTTTAATTTTCAAGTAAGTGATGTCATTAATGAAAAGTAAAAAAAGAATGGGACCTAATACTGAACCTTGCGGTACTCCACATTCAATATCTTTACAACTAGAGTCGGTGTCATTTATTCTAACCAATTGTTTCCTACCTACCAAGTAAGTTTTGAACCAGTTCAAAGACACACCCCGAATTCCGTAGAAAGTTAATTTTTTTAATAGAATGTCGTGATTTACGCAGTCAAAGGCTTTGGAATAGTCGCAGAAAACGGTGGCGGAGGAGAGGTTACTGTTTAGTGATAGATATACATCATGTAACACAGAAAATATGGCATCACTAGTGCATTTATTAGACAAAAAGCCGAACTGATTTTGCGATAAAATATTTTATTTAAGAAGAAAGGGCATAAGTCGAACTTTTATAAGTCTTTCAATAATTTTTGATAGTGCTGGTAACAAGGCAATAGGTCTATAGTTGCAGGCATCAGATTTTTCTCCACCTTTATGAAGAGGAATGACGATGGCAGTCTTTAGGCAGTTAGGGAATGTACCTTTTTCAAGGGAATCATTTACTAGCGAGACCATGACCTCCAAAACATTATGCGGTATATTTGAGAAAATTTTAATAGATAATCCATCTGTACTACAGGACGATGTGCATTTTATACTACGAATTGTTGAAATGAGTTCCGTCTTATCAACTGTTTTTAAAAAGAAGGTATCAGCAATGTTTTTTGAATTAGAGAGATAGGAAACTATATCTTGTTGTGACGAAATAGTTGAGGTTATGTTTTTACTCACATTAACAAAGTAATCATTTAGATTTTCGGGGTTAGGAAAAGAAAAGGTTTGATCCGCTGTACTGGTTTTATTTCGAAAATCGTTTATTATTGACCAAGTTTCTTTTGAAATATTTTTGGAGCTTGTTAAGCGATTATGAGAGTAGGATTTTTTGGCTGCTTTGAGTAGTTTTATATAGCATTTTCTGTACTTGTTGATATAATCAGAGATGGGGATACTGTCATTAAATTTTTTAATATATAGCAGAGAACGCATATTTTTCGCAGATATGCGAATGCCTTTGGTAATCCAAGGTTTGTTATGTTTTGGCCTGATGTTTAATAGAGGAAATGCTTTATTAAAAATAGATACAAGTCTATTTAGAAAATCACTAACATTACAGTCAATGTCCCCAGAAGAAAAACTCCAGTCAGAAGTCAAGCATGAATTATAGAATTAACGAAAGTTTTGAATGGAAAAAATCCTACCTAATCGTCGGGTTTTTGAGTAAGGTGTTTGGTGAACTTAATATGAATGAAAATAATAGTATAACACTCTTTTTTTAGTATTCTAGGTTCTCTTATGTTTTGTCACGCAAGTATGAACTGCTTTGAATGGCTCAATCATCTATATCCTGAAAGAACCTACTTAAGAACCTTCTTAGGCTTCTTCAGCGGCAGAATAATGATGGTCCACTTCTTAGCGTATCTGTACCATGTGGATACAAGAACAAATGTACCAGGAGTTCACGTGCATCGGGACAGGGTCTTTGAACAAATGTACATGTATCCCTAAAATACACACATCAGCATATTTTCTTCAAAATAAAGACATCCGTTAAAAAATTAAACTTTATTTAAAATTACCTTATTAACAATTTATTATATCACAATATTATACAAATTTGAATCAATTTGTATTCGTACTTTCTTATTTTTTATAATTAAATTAAATACTTAAAAAAATAACAGTGGGCATATCTACTACGTATGTGTTTTGGGACATTTTTCTGTAATATAAAGTAGTATAAGTATACAGGGTATCTCATAATTAATTGGACATTAGCTAATGGGTGATAGTTGACATCAAAATAAAGAGTTTGAGCTCAAATTTAATATTGTAAATATGTCGAAATACCATACGCTAAATCAATATTATATTAACCTTTAATTTCTCTTATTTTTTTTTATTTAAACTTTTGTAAATAAACAATTTATTATTTAATGTTTGTCCGAATATAAACTTATACGAAATAAATATGTCCTTATGTAGCTATAGATACGTATGAAACAGAATCAGATCATCATCGAGAAACATTTTATTCAGCTATCGTCCTTGGATTCTTGAAATTCTTAAATATTTGGGACTGTCGTTAATATGGCGGTGTCATGAAACGAATACTGAGACTCCTGATGGGTCGTCCTGTGATGATGGTCTTTATGTTCGTGGTTGTGGTCGTGACCATGGCCAACTGAAAAAAGTAAATTACTGGTTAGTTTAGTCTGCAGACATAATTACAACTGAAAGCGGTAAAATTGGCTACGAAAACGAGCACAGGAATTTCAGACGTGTGCTTTGCAGTTTTAAGTCAATACATCAATATTATATTATACGATTTTGGACAATATATTATACGAATTAAATTATTCATTGTAAATATTATTATAAAAAACATATGAAAGAAAATTTTGTTTGACAAAATAGATCAACTCTAGACAATATTATAGACCTAGAAAGCAGTGTACATTAAGCCTTTTCCGTTAATCAAAAATGTACTGGAATATTTTTCGACATCTGATTACTGTACGATTTAGAAATTAAAGGGCATTGTCTTGCATTCATAAAAAAACTTAAAGGTATATGTAAGTTAGAGTAAATGGTAATTTGTCGTCAAAAGTGGAATTAGAAAATGGAATTCCTCAGGGATCTATTACAAGTCCTACGCTATTTAAAATAACCATAAATGATGTTCTACAAAATTTAAAACTTCCACTTAAAGTCAGCTTATATGCCGACGATCTCGTAATATTTGGTCAAAGCAAAAACCTAACTTCTCACATCTTGCACAGAGTTTCTTGTTAGATATTGAAAAATGGTCACAGGAAACTGGATTTATATTTTCAATAACTAAAACTAAATATATAGTATTTTTTTTAAAACACGGTTAGTACACCAATCTCATTATATCTATACAACCAATCACTACAACAAAAAGATTCGCTAAAATTGCTAGGAGTTACTTTTGACAGAAAGTTGAATTGGAAAAAACATATCAATAATCTAACATGTAACTGTTACAGAAGATTAAATTTACTAAAAATTATTTTATTTGGATCCATTAAGTAGGCCATTAAGTTGGTTCTCTTGTAGATACATTTATTTATTTATTTAGCGTATGGCTACATCACAGGTTCATATATATATATAGGTACATATAATATAAATTATATAAATTACAAACAACAGTAAATACAAAAATATTATTCTACAAACAAACATCTAGATTATAAATATATTCGATTGACTCTTTTGTAGCAGCCAGGAAATCTGAAGGGTTGCCGTTATAGGATCTAATCGGGCATTCCTTCACCATATGTTTTACTGTTTGCCTTTCGGCGCCGCAGACGCAATTTGGTGATTGTATTTTTCCCCATCTAAAAAGTGAGTCGAAACATCTGCCACAGTTTGACCTTATTCTATTGAGTGTGGTCCAAATTCGTCTCGGTTGGTTAAAGCCCTTAGGTTTGCTTGTAATACATAGCATGTTCCAGTTAGCTGGTTCAGCGTTATTCTCCCATTGTTGCCGTTATAGGATCTAATCGGGCATTCCTTCACCATATGTTTTACTGTTTGCCTTTCGGCGCCGCAGACGCAATTTGGTGATTGTATTTTTCCCCATCTAAAAAGTGAGTCGAAACATCTGCCACAGTTTGACCTTATTCTATTGAGTGTGGTCCAAATTCGTCTCGGTTGGTTAAAGCCCTTAGGTTTGCTTGTAATACATGGCATGTTCCAGTTAGCTGGTTCAGCGTTATTCTCCCATTGTTCTTTCCACCGTTCAGTTACATTAAAGTTTTGATCTACTAGCCTTTTTGCTGTTTTTAGAGGCAGGTGTCTTGAACGGAGCCTATTTATGTCTCTGGCGTAAGTTCCGACATGGGAGCGGAGCTCAGGATCAGTATTGATTTTTGTAAATTCTCTGACAAGGGCATGTTCCCGGCGGATGGGTGGTGGAGCTATATGACTCAAAGCTGGTAACCAGTAAGTGGGCGTGGCCTTGATTGTGCCCGATATAGTTCGCATGGTTTGGTTGAGTTGGACATCAACACGGTGAGTATGTGGACTGTTTATCCATACTGGTGTACAGTATTCCGCTACGGGGTCTTCTTCTTAGAGTGCCGTCTCCCTACGGAGGTTGGCAATCATAATGGCTATTTTTATTTTAGAACTTGCTGCTCTAAACAAATTAATCGATCTGCATTGGTACCAATCACGTAGATTCTTTAACCTACGGGGTATACCAGTCCTAATGCTGTCGATCTAAGTGTGGGTGCTGAGGAGCCTCATGTAGTGCCGCAGAACTTTTGCAGGATGTTGTTACGAGTTCGGAGTTTTGCAGCAGTCTTAGTAAGATGCTCTTTAAAGTTCAGCGTTCTGTCAAGTGTAACACCTAAATATTTTGGGTGCTTATTATATTTAAGGAGTTTATCCCCAAAATTGATTTTTGAGGTTGATAGTTGGCCATCTTGTTGTACAAATGGAAGCAGGACACTTGTGTCTTAGTTGGATTGGGTCGCAATCTCCATTTGCGGAAATAATTCCCTAGGGCATTTAAATCGTTTGTTAGAATGCGTTCAGTGACCTCGAATTCTTTATGACTTGCGGCAAGCGTCCAGTCGTCTGCGTATCCAAACTTTTTTGATGCGGTTTCTGGCATGTCTGCTATGTAGAGGCTGAAAAACATGGGAGCCAGCACGTATCCTTGTGGAAGTCCATTATTCAGTTTTCTTTGGGTACTAGTCTTGTCTCCCAATATAACTTTAAAGCATCTGTTGGATAGCATGGCGTTAATAACCTCAGTGGTCTTTCTACATGGGATTATTCGCATTAATTTATATATTGCCCCTTGTCGCCACACAGTGTCATAAGCAGCAGATAGATCGATGAAGACAGCGGTTGTTTTTGATTGCTTTTGAAAGTTTGATTCCGCATAATTGGTGAGGGCGAGTACCTGGTCTGTGCAGCTGCGGTTTGGCCGAAATCCTGCCTGTTCCACTGGTAAGTGTTGGAATATGGTTTTGCTGATTCTATTATACAACAGTCTTTCGAACAATTTGTACACCATACTTAAGAGTGCGATGGGGCGGTAGTTTTTCGGTGAATTATTACTTTTCCCTGGTTTTAAAATGGCGACGATTTTTGCATTTTTGAGTTGGTGGGGGACGTTTCTCGTATGAAGGATGTCAGAAAAGAATTCTGCGAGCCATTGCCTAGTGAATATGCCGCTATGTTTGAGAAACTCAGCGTGAATGGCGTCGAAACCCGGCGCTTTTCCTGTTTTCATTTCATTTAGGGCTTGCGATATTTCTCCATGCGTAAATGGGTTGGAATATTCTGTTGACTGTGCAAGACTAGATTTTATGGTTTTGAGGTCTTTTTTAACTTTAATTATATGTAAACGATTTTAAGGTGCCCTAGAGGTTGACACTATGTGCGTAGCTATTTGGTCTGGAGTTACTAGGTTGGTTTGGCGAACGGGTGGGTTGCTACTTCCGAGTTTCCGAAGTAGGGACCAAGCTTGTCGACTTGACTTCTGGAAGTCTAGGTTTTCTACTGTCTGTGTCCATTTTTTACGCCTGGCAGCATCAATGCTATGGAGTAGTTCGTCTGCCATCTCCTGCTTTCCATCTTCGCAATATTCTTCATACAGTTTTTCGCTCTGTTCTGTCAACCAGGGATATATTCTTTGCGGTATCCTCTAGGGTGATACATATAGGTAGATACATAGGTAGATACATAGGTATTATCTAGGGAGATACAGAGATAGGTAGATACATATTGTAGGGGTATAAGCTATTATACAAAGATATTGACTTAAAAGTCATACGAGAATGGCTTTAAAATTTAGTAAGACCTAATTTGAATTTTTGTATCTTTCCAATGGTCTATTTTATCGGAAATAGAAAAGCCTTGATGGAGTATGCACAGTTCAACAATTGGTACTACCAAAATCACACATTAAAAGTGTGTTGCGATAACTTGATCAGTTTACTTACACCTGATCCTCGTCTTCTGTCTTTTCCTATCTACTATAGAAACGAACAAAATCTTTAAATTCGTTTCTCCGATTCCCTATAGTAATAAAATACCCTGTATATTAATCCCGTATAGAAGGTACTAATACTAAATCCAATTATCATTCTACGTGAAGGTGTTATAATTATTTAAACTAGATTCGCTGTGTGGGATACTTCAGTAAGAAATAACAGGCTCTCGAGTAACAAAGAAAAGAGATTGTACACTATCCTTGAATGGCCTTGTTATAATAAGTTATCGAAAGCGAAACAAATAAAAAACGTTTTAAGGTCAAATAGCTGTTATTCAGACGTATTGTAAAAACAAGCTATTAACTCGTAAATAAAACAGTAAATATTTCTTAGGATATGTTTGAGAATAGATCATTGACTTGGTGTGAGAAAATACGCATCTTATCTATGTTATGAGTTGAGCTGGTTACATATTCATGGAAATTGTTTTACGACATTTGTTTTGATAAACCAAGTCCATCTAAAGCAAGTTTGAGGATTCAGGAAATTAAATCATGCCTAAAATATTGCTCCATGCTGTTTCATTGTCGACCTTGTTTAATCAATGACTTAACTGTAGTATTCGCTCAAGTAAATAGTACCGGGTACAAATATTGAGTTTAATGATTGTTTTTTATTACCGAATCTGTTGAAAATATCTTCCATTACTCCATTAAGCGTAGTACTGCGTCTCAAAAGAGACGCAGTAGTCAGCAAGCATACAAACATTAAATATTTCCTGTTTTTCATTGTTGATATATGCTAATATACATACATCGCTTCTCCAGTAGATCTCTCTCTTCAATCTTGACTCCCCAGGGGGAGTGTAGTGGTCGACGTGATGTCGTGTATTGTCCGTCTCCAGAGATCTCTGTCTTTGGTCATTTCTTTTAATTTATGCATAGGTCTTTGGCATATTCCTGTAATTTGATCTATCCATCTTGTTGGGGATCTTCCTCGTGATCTTCGGCCTTTTACCTTTCCTTGTATTATGAGTCTTTCCATGTTTTCTGTGTTTGCTCTCATAACATGCCCAAAATATTTTAATTGTTGGAGATGGACTTTACTAGAGAGTCGTTGGCTAACTTTTAGCTCTCTTAAAATTGAATTATTTGTTCTACGGTCGGTCCAAGGAATTCGTAACATTCGTCTCCAACAGAACATT